ATACTACAAAGTAAGTCCACACTCCAATTTGGTTTGAAATATTTTGTGGCCATAATCTTAACTGTTAATGCCTGGTACTAATAGTAGTTACAAAATTCATTTATCAGGCTGAGAAGCAACAAAATACAGACTTTTGTCCAAAAAGTCCAGTTGAAAACATTTATCCTTGCAATTCTTCAATGTTTCATTTGTTTGTTTAGTTTTCTGTGGCGGAGATTTTTATGTTAAATGGCTTGTCATATTTTTCATGTCTGAATCTATAACCACTATTTTTTCTTTAACACATAACAAATTGTTTCAGCTTCATCCATGAACTATGTTGCTGTAGTGATTCTTTTTGCTCTGCATGTAAACTTAATTTTGTAATAGAACAGAGCATGTGGGTTTCTTCTGCATGATTTTCTCAGTGATAGCCAAGTAGTAAATGTTTTATAATTTTAGCTGTATGTTGTCTATTCTAGGCAGCAAGCTTAATGCAAAATCCTCAAATTCAACAACTGTAAGTATTAAATTGGGTTACCATAAAAACAAATGTGTTAAGATGTTTGAATTAATAAAAGATGCATTGTACTTACAGCTATATTTTTGAAATGTAGATACATTGTTGAAAATGTAATTTTATTTTGCTTACTGTAGAAGTGTAGCTTCTTCTTGCAAGTTAGTTCCTCTTAGCAATTCAAAAAATGAGTGGGGCTTATTGCTTACAGTAAAGGTCCCTGCACACCCCAATGCAAACACTGTGCTAACTGTTCCAGGATGTCAGGGATGATGTCAAATGCCATTGGTGGCCCTGCTGCTGGGGTTGGCGGCCTTTCGGATTTGTCCAGCCTGATCCATGCGTAAGTAAGAACTGCATGGTTTTAACTATCACATTTGTACCAGGGTAACTGTGCAACATCTGTTTAAAAAGAAGCACTGTCAAGGGAATTATAGTGTGGTCTATTACAGCGACCTGAGGAGGTCTCCATGGTGAGAGAAGGACGAGAATCTTGTTTCTTGATCAGAAGGCTTGATTTATTGATACATGATATATAATACATTATAACTATACTAAAAAGAATAAGGAGAGAAGTTGCAGAGGCTTGCTAAGCCAAGAATAACATAGAAAAGAATGAATAACAAAGTTCTGTCTCCAGGGAATCTGTCCCTGAGCTTGCTCCTGTGATTGGCCCCCAACTGTACACATGGAAGATGGGCCAATCACAGGTGCATCCTATTGCATTCCACAGCAGCTGATAACAATTGTTTACATTCATCTTCTGGGGCTCTGCTTCCCAGAAAATGGACAAATCTGAAAGAAAGGATTTCTATGAAAAAATGTCTGCAACAGTGGTCTGTTCCCACTGTTTGTTATTAAAACCAGGAACTATAAGACTTATTTTCCAGGACTGCATTTGTTTGCTCCATACATTGCCATCAACTGGAATCCCTGAATTGCTGTGTGCTCAGCTTCACTTTCTGGTTCTCATACGTTCTCATACTCTCACATTTAGTAAGTGACATTTTCTAATGCCACTTACTAAATTCCTTTAAACCTTTTAAGTACTCCTACTTGTGCTTTCAGATTGTATGGATAACTACCTAATATCTCAGATACTATTTAGGAAAGCTACAGATTTACTTAGCACAAGTCCCTTCATTTAGATGAGGAATGTTTCAGGGAACTCAGGATAATGAAGAATACCTTTACAAAACCCAGGACACAAGGTTTTTATACTATAATGATGATATCCATCTGGAAGTGTCTGCAAAAAACCATGCCATTTGCTTATATCCCAAGATCTCTAATATACATACATACATACATAATATACGTACATACATACAAATTTACTTTATTCCAGCATTCTAGCCAATTCCAAACTATTTTTAAGTTTCACCTCTTCAGGGCAAAAGTAGTTTATGATTTACATCACACATAGAAATGTCTTGCTGCAAAAATTTAGGGCTATTTTCATAAAAAACTGTGTTCTTTGCAGACATCTATAAAAATGTTGCTTTCCTTCAACCTGCACTGTAGTTTGAAGGGGTCTTGATAGTTTGCTACTTGCACAAAATGCAGAAGTAACAGAGACAACAAGCTAGGCTTTTTGTGAAATCATATTTTTTACTTATTATTTTTTATTAGTAAGCAAGTGTTATGCTCCTCTTATACATGGAATTAGTCTCTGCTATTAATTTAATTCTTAAGCTACAACTGTTATAGATAGATCTGTTATTACTTCAGTCATGAACGATACAAAAATTTGATAGTATGCTTGCTTTCAATTAATGACATTGTGTTCACAAGTACAAGTCAGCAGCTGCATACTCTATTTCTAGAACCATTAACATAAGGTTGCATGCCAACTTTAAGTGTAGTTACTTTAAACAGTTAAGAGTGGATCCTGTCAAAAAGAAGGTAGTAAATCACTGTAGCAGATGTGTTATTTTACCATAAAAGGCAATATATTTTGTAAAGTGATACTTTTCTCTTCCATGTTATCAAGTAGAAGTAATAGTACTAAAAAATGAAAATAAATTTATGACAGTGATCCTGTTTGGAGACACTTCAATCAGATAAATTCATAATACTGCAAATACCTTAAACTGGAAATTAAGGTATCTTTAATCTTAATTTTAATGTAATGCACCTTTCAGCTGTATTGTGATATCCTGTTTTCTTACGAATGCTGCTTTCACTTGCTGAGCTCACTTAAAACTGTTCAATACAGGGGGCAGCAGTTTGCACAGCAGATACAGCAGCAGAATCCTGAGCTCATAGAGCAACTGAGAAATCATATCCGGAGCCGATATTTGAGTGGCAGTACTGAAGAACATTCCTGACTTCAACAAGTCATATGAATTGGAATGATGTATAACCCCAAAATGCATACCATAGTTAGTAGCAAAAGCACCATTGTAACTCTTCTGCTTGAATAGAAGACAGAAAATTCTTTGTGTGTGTTTGCAAACAAGAATAAATCTGGTAAACAGATCTCTTGCACATAACTTGGAACATAGCGTTTATGTATAGTTACTCCTCTGAAAATCAATACACTGAATAGGTGGTTCATCAAAATCCCCAAGTCAAAGTCATTTCAGTATGTGCATCAGATTGACCTCCGGGGCTGCTGAGTGGGGAGGAGTTTTGTAGGGCGCTGATCTTGCCTAAGAGCTACTTCTGAAATGATAGTGTAAAAGATGTGTTAATCATATGCTGAGAATCACGATGGCTGTACTCCTTTAAACAGTATTGAAATACTGAAATATTGATACAATGGGCCCATCTGATGTGCCCTTTTATAATGAGCATTAAGTAGTGTTGGTATAGAGAGTACTTAAAATTCATGCTTGAGAAGTCTGTTTCCTTAATCCTGTGGAGGGGGTTTTATGAGTAACAGGAAATACATTTCAACTTTTCATTGGGCAGAAGAGAGGAAGGTGACTGCATATGAAGGAGTAGCACACTTTGTGGAGAAAGAGAAGACAATAATTCTGGGCAGGATAATGCACAGAAATCAAAATGAAACTTTGCTTGGAAAAGGAAAGAAAAGTTGTAATGTTTTTTACTGCCATGTACCCTCATCATGATGGTAGCCCTGGAGGTCACAATTATGGCACTATGTTCCTAGGCATGGCAAGCTGTATTACATTCCATATGTATGCAGTATTTAATATAAACTTAAAATTCTTAACTGTAATAAGCTAAAACTGAGCCTGTGACTGTACAAATAACTAGTACTGAAAATTTTAAAAAAGAACTGCCTTAGAAGGATTCTTTTTCTATTCTTGTGTGATAAATCACTGGCTTAAACAATTGGGGATTTTTTTTAATTACACGTATCTATCTAAAATGATGATTATATAGTCAAGTTAAAGATTTTTCAACTCTATAGTATTTGTTTCTTGCTCAGTTAATATTACTCTTGCAAGACTGCTGCTCTTCTGTATGTCTAGTATGTTAACTTTTTTTACTGTGTTTACTGTTCACACTGCTTTGAGATACAAAGTACACTTGTTCTTAGCCCAGGGACCTTCTCAACACGCCTTCCTCTTCCTATATCTAATTTGAGGAGCCTGCTTTGAATTTTTAGGCAAAGTAATCTCTCATGGCCAGTTAGTCTGGAGGAATAACAACAGATTCCCAAACGGAGAAATACATAGAAAGTGTCCTCAACCTTCCACTTTATATCCAATTGATCTTGTGCTCATAAAAGAGCTCCTCCAGCAGAAGCAAATGCAAAATTTGGGGGTAAGTAATAAACTTGATTCTAACAAATTATCATTATACATCTGTGGTATGAATCTTACGCTAGTAAACCAGAGAGAAAAATGCTGATCCAAGGAGAAATGAAAGGAATTGAAGAAAACACAAATCTAGGATATCCATATTATCATCTGTTGAATAAAGAGGTAAAAGCTTAATACATGAACAATTTTAAGACATTTCACACTTTATTGACTAGCTTGCCTATGTACAGCATTAAAATGCTTTTGAAAATTCTCTCTTTAAGTTGGTGTAATTGTTTTCTCCAGGTTGTAGAGATCCTTAAGCTTTACATTAAATACATTTTCAAGTAACAGCTTCTGACTCAACATCTGATGACAAGAAAGAGAATTCCTAAAGGGATCTTTTGTCAGAGGTAGCTCAGATCCTGCACATTATTCATTCAAGGAAACTTAAGTTTAATTACACTGAGTAGGACAGGAATACCATTTAGAAGGAAGCTTTATGGAGGCTTTGGGTGGGCTACAAAAAGTGTACAGGTATTACTTGGAATACTGTGTTGTGTCAGGAGAGAAGCGTTGTACCTAGTATGTTAAACTTCACAGTTCCTTTTAATTCTCTTTCATATCTTCAACTGCCCAAAGAGTGTTTCACTAACTATGATAAGGGGAATATAAAATCCATGGTGGAGGGGGCAGCACTGCCAATATCTCTGTAGAAACTCAAATTATTATCACTTTGCAAGAGCAATCCTCATGCAGTTACTTTTCTGCTTTGAGAACTGTTAAGAACTGCAAAGTATGTTAAGATCCAAAGAGGGCAGAAGAAATTGTGTACTTTCACTGTTAAGTACAAGCTCCATAGCTAACTGGATTTATGAGAGAACAGTCCCCAAGGTTAAATGGAATGAAGCATTGGTTAGTTACGAGAAAACTACTCTTGAAGTGATCTTCATGGAGTTGTAACTTTCACTTCACATGCTGTAATATTGTTGTGTTTAGGTTTTACTTCAGATAATACCAGAGTATATATTAAAATGTTAACAGCATTAGCTAAGCCTTCAGGAATGTGGTACAACTGACTGGCACAATACTTTAGTAGTAAACACGCTCTGTTTGTTATGTATTAACAGAAAGGGCTTTATAGCCTGAACAAAAAACAGTGAAACCAGTAACAGGAGCTGTCATTACATGCTTTTCCACTAAAACCATGAACAGAGAGATCATTTATGCTAAAGTGTGCTTTTCTTTGAATTGCCTAGACTGTTTCAATCATGCAATATGTCTTAATCACAGGGTGTGGAAGGAAGCTTTTCCCGTGTAGTAACTGCACTGTATCTTGCGCTAAAATTTTTCATCCTGCTAGATAAAGTGGTAAACCACAATCCCTATAAATATTGCTTTAAGATCAATTGCAGTTTATCATTCAAGTGAGCAAATCTGCATTTACACCTAATTGGTTTTGTATCATTACTGTTCCATCAGTGCATAAGTACAATAATTTGTTAGAGAAGAAAGTATTTTGCAATCAGTTGTGAACTCCTGTAACCTGCTTGCATGGGAGTATATTCTGACTATAATCATAAAGACACTTAATGAAATATTCAGCTTAGAAATTGTTTTAGTTGCACTCTTGGTTTTGTTATAAGTGCAAAGTAAAATCACTCATGCATACTGAGATAGAACTAGCTCTGTAACTTTGAGTAGATTGTTTTATGGCAACAGAAAGTCATACTGGCATAATGCAACTTGTCTACTATTTCTGTATCTCTCCTACCTCTTACTGCCATATGGTTACATCTCCTTCAATTTGTGTAGTTTAACTCAAAGATATATTATAAATAAAGTTATATACTTTTTTGTCTGTATAGTTGTGGTTTTCTGTTTTAATTTTTTATGTATCTCAAGTAACAGGTAAATTGCATTCTTTATATACCAGTTCATGTTGGTTGGATTTTATCACATAGGCAAGATACATTTCTAACTTATTCTTTCCTGTATGGACTTAGTCCCTCAATATAGAAAGCTGGTCCTCAATTTATCAATATTTTAACACTGAATACTACTCTTAAGATTTTATACAAGGGAAGCCTTAAGTAAAATAGTGTCAAAACTACCTATAAAGTTGCTAAGTGCCAACATGGTAGCTGAGCAATACAAGCTGCTGATTAGAGTCTTTAACACTAGTTCTCCTAGTGTTAAACTAGGAAAGACAGTCACCATTTTATCTACTAAATGCCTGCCTCTGGGTAACCATAGATATTTCAGTCAAAAATATTTCCAGTTTTTGTCAAAACAAAGTTAGGGAAAAGAACATTATAGTGCTTGACCAGGCCCAAAACTTCTTCCTGTATATGCTTTAGAGAACTTGATCTAAGAGAGCAATGCAGGGTGGTTTTTTCCTTTTTTTTCCTAAAAAATCTTTTTAATTCCTCTGGGATGGAAAGAATAATTGTCACCACCTTATTTTAACAATAAAAAATACCTGAATTATGCTATTTTAGTTTTCAGTTCCCTACTAATTGGAAAATAACATGCCTGTTGATAGCATGTCCTGTATTGCAGGGATGCACAACTCTGCTCATGACAGCAGATAATTGGGACAGATTGCTGTATTGCTTCCTCTTCAAAGAGTGAGCCACAACCAACACAGTCTTTGGCTTATACTCCAATTCCTAGCTCCAAGTGCCTCTAACAGTGCCAGCTGCATTCCCTCATCTCATGCCCTTATCAGGATTTATTTCCTATGGCTATACATGTACCATGCAAACACATTGCCATGCCAGGTACCCCATATTACATTTTTTAGGATTTGGATTCCAGAAGCCTCTCTGTAAAAGGTAAGTTCTTTTGAACTGAAGTAGTCTTGTCAGAGCTATGATTTTAAAAGGGTTTAAATACTTTTAAAAAATTAAAACAAGAAAAACAAGCACAAAATCCTAGTCTTTTTATCAACCTCACCCCCCCATCCTGCAATGATGTAAATGCAATATAATTTGCTTGAACTACACTTTTTTTCAAAGGCTTTATTTTTAGGAGATAAAATGCACATGCATGTTTTAAAAGATTTGAAAACACTGAAGAAATGCTCAGAGAAATAAAATAATCATTATCACATTTACAGCTGTATAGGGATTTGATTTTGTTTAGACTCATTTTAGAACAGTTGACTGCAAAAACATCAAGAAGTTGGTCAAAAAAACACCAGTAAAACTACAAATTTGTTTTCCCTCAGCTTTGCTTGATTTCTGAAGAAACTACACAGACTTGTGCAATATCATCATACTCGTATGTTCTCTTCAAAAATGTGTCTGTAAGTCTTAGGCCAGAGACACTCTGGAAGGGGAAAATATTTATAAGAGTTATTAGAAAGAGCTGTTAACATCATAAAACATCTATTTTACAACAAAACTGTACTAATGACTTACCTGCAATCCCTGCACTGAAGACAACAATGTAAGTGCAAGATGGAGGGATGAACTTGGGTGCAGCTTTCCAAGTTGCCTTCCTGAAACTCCACACCAGTGGATGGAATTAGTATTGCACATTTCTAAAACCAGATCCATAGTCCTTTCACTGCTAGAGGAAATAAAAAAACAAGAATAAACCTGTGGGCTTTTCTAAGCATTCAAAGACTGAAGGCATCTAAAAGGTTGATTATTATTCATGTTACTACTAATCAAGATTCATAAATAATTATAAGGTGGCAAGCAGTATTTATTGTGATGCACAGTAATTCAGCTGCAGACAGCTCTCTTTGACACAAGCATCCTGTTATGGGTTTACCAATACTGGATAACACAATACTTGGATGGATTACAAGCTTTTCATGAGAAGTAGCTGCAGGACAGATACATGCTTTAGTCTCTGGGCTCAACTTCTATTTAGAATTACTTCATTTAAATGTCATTCTTGCAACCTTAAAATGAGTTGTGATTTAAGTATGAGATACAATCGTAAATAATATTGCAAACAGATGCATGGAATTTCTCTGCAGAATTTTGGCCTATCTCCCATTTCAGTACCATATTAACAGATCATGATATAAGATTTTTAGTTGTAGTTGTTTACTTGAAATTTTTTTTTGTCTCTTGTGTTTCAAGTAGTTTTGTGTTGCCACAAATCATAGTAAAGACCAGGTTTAAGTAGTTTCAGGAGGAAGTACGGAAACATAAAACAAAGCCAGCCACAACTCACCCACTCAGGAAAAAGTAGGAGAATCACATGACATTGTTACCTGCAATTTGTTATTTTACATGTAATGTCAAAAGGTTCTTCCAAATTTACAGTATCTGGTATTGTCTCCAATGAAAGCCTTACATCACCGTAACCAGGAGCCTGGGAAGGAACAAGAATGTAATTCTCAGATATTGGATAGGGAAATTGAAGTTTTTACTGAAGTTTTCATTTCCTAGAAGATACGTGGAGTAAGACAAACCTGCAGAAAGAAGATCAACTGTGCTTTTGATTAGTATGGAAATCACAACAGTTCTCCAACTGATGAACACCTTCTTCACAGGTTTAACAATTCATCAGATAAGGATGATCTTTATTATTACATTTTCAGGAGAGTTTAAATCCTTAAAATTTGAATAGCCATGTACAGTTCCTGCGAATGTCAGTTTTAATCTAAGGCCTCTGTTAGGTAGATAACAGATCTCTGCAGACACCACCAGTAAAACTTCCCTACATTCCATCCTAAGAAACGTTCCCACTATTCCATCCTAAGAAAAACCCACCACTATTCCATCCTAAGAAACAAGAGAAACTGCTATTTCGGTCCTCTCTGCCTCTGCCAAAATAATTAATTATCATCTGTTAGAAAGTCACACAAAATGAACACTTGTCAATTATCCATGAGCTAAACACATCTCATATGGTCTACCAATAAAGTTATAGTAAATAACTTAGTACCAACTGATTCAAATAGTCGCCTGCAGATCACACAGCATGTTTAGATTTTCCATCTCCACAAATGATAGATAATGAGGGAAAAATAGGGGGAAAATCTGTCCTGCCTTCCAAGGCTTAGTTATTGTATATGTTTCAATTCTGCTAATAAAGGAATCTTGTAGTGAAAGTTATATTTACAGTGTGATTGAAAGATATTTCCAAAGCAGTCCATAAAGTCAGTGATTGACAGGCTAGGAACAGGTTTTAGTCACATCAAGTTTGCTACAGAGTAATGACAGATGACATTTCAGAAAGAATATTAAACTGGACATTAGAGTGAGCAAAGGGATGTCAAACCAATGGGGATTTAGATTAGTCAAGCAATATGCACTTGGAACCTTGCATGAAAGAGAAGTAATTATTCAGCACTGGAAAAATGCAGATATATTCAACTGTATTACGTGAATGGAGGAATTGACTGGAACAATTATACGTATGATGCTAAACAACAGGTAGTTTTCCATTAACATTAGGCTCTTCTTTTACCAGAGATACATTAAGAAAAAAAACAACAAACACAAACCTACAATAAAAACAGTATTTTAGAGAATAAACTTAGCATCAACTGACCAAATCAAAACAAGATCAGAGTAGATGAGACCTATACCACATTGTATCTGTTGAACTCAAAAATAAGACCCCTCCAAGAACTCATAGTTGGAGGCAAAGGCATTGAAGTAACAATAAGAGGAGTAACAGGTTTTATCCAGAACTGAGGTAATTGCTCAGATTATGGAATCAACTAGACAATTTCCCACTTGTGCTACTCAAGAATGATGCTCTTTTTTCAGACTGGTTCTAGTGAGGTCCTGTATTGAGTGCCTGTGAGCATGTGGAGCACCTTTTGGCATGTTGTGGACACCTACCTGGTTCATTGTCTCCAAAGAGACTGTAGTTGTGAATTCCAACACCAAGCCGCATTCAAACAAACAAACAAAAAACACTCCCAAAAAACCCAATGAAGAAAACAACCAAACATACAAATTATGGTGTGTGGATACTTGTTTCAAAGTATTTCTGTATTCCTGATCTGACCTGTAACTAGGTCAGTTCCCTAAATTTTCCTCCCATTCCAAACCACGACACTTAGGTAAACAGGTAATAGTAGAGGTAAAATTCTGGGCCTGGGTGGGATGCAATGGTTATAGTGCTGGCAAATGGATTAAGAGGACAATGATTAAGGGTGAGGTCAAGAAATTGAATAATCTGATAGCACTTACAAAATGAGGGGAGAAAAGAGGGAGTTACACTGCAACTCAGAAGAGAAAAAAACCAACTCCTGCTGCTTTTCTAAAGACAGATGTTGTTCAAAGTTCACAACATAGTATTTTTCTGTTAATCACAAGGTACAAAATTATGCATGACCAAAACTAATCCTGGAGTGTTGAAGTGTGTGCTTCACATGCAATTCTCAAAGGTTCAAATAAAAGAGAGGCAGAGTGTGGAGGGATAGAATGTAAGAGAATAGTGCAGAAGGCAATCTCACCCCTGAGGAGTTGCAGCTGTACTAATCACCAAAGATTAGGAACAGGCCTGCCCTTAATAGACCACAGCTACAAGAGAGTGGGTTAGCTGGTTGAGGACAGAGTTGGAGTTTGTTGGCTGTACTGTGAAGAAGAAGGTGTTAGTGCGGCAAGGAGATGCCCACGAGAAATCACTGAGAAGGTATAGACTACTGCAATACAATGACAACAGCAGAGTGAGACAATATTGATTTAGGGAGGGAAAAGCAATGAGAGAAAAGATCAATTGAAAATGAAACCATTTATTGTTAAAAATAAGCAACAAGTTTCAAAGTAACAACAGGAACTAAGTTTAAGGAAAAGGGCAGTTTCTAATTTCATGGGTTTATACACACATTCAACACCTCAATTAAAAATCAAGACACATTTCAGTGACTTAGTTACTTTTCAGTGACTTTCTTGTGAATTTCCAGAATCTAAGTTTGCTTGCCTAGTTCCAAGCCAGTGTGACTTGCCCACAGAACTGCTCAATGTACTAGCAGCTGGGGACTGGGGCAAAGACTGTAAACTTAGACTGAGATTCAACTGCCAAAGTTTTTTTAACTACCCTTCTGCACCTCTGTCACCATCCTCAAGTGAGAAGATGCAAACCAGGTTTAAGCATTAGATGCCTGTGGAGCTGACTTAAGCAAGACAGTAATTACAAGTCAAAATTCAAGAACAATTTATAAATCAACTTGAATAGGACAGACTCAATAAAAAATGTGAATGTGAAAGATACATAACATTATCCATAAAAAAATGTTACTCCAATCTAAAATATCTGTATGAATGTGGGAGCAGCTTCCATATCAAGAGCTGGCACATTTAAAGAGGTTCTTTTGTCAGTGTGTTGCCAAATGGTATCCAAGCAGTTAATTTTACTCTAACAAATGTAATTTGCAACACTCGTTACTGGATTCTGACAAAGTTCTCACTCCATTAACTTATTCACACTTCACTGAAGAAATATATGAAGTAACTCTCCAATACCTATAGAAAAGTGTGAATAAAAAACGAGGCTCAGAAAGTAAGCAGCTTGCCCTTTTCCAAGTCACTACTAAAACTGTTCATTGAAGTTTCCTAATAAAACTGTTCATTGAGTTTCCTTAAAAATGTCAAGTAAAATTAATACCTAAGTTAAACTTACCATTCTTTGGAGCTGGCTAGTTTGAAGCCTTCCTCGTTCACCCAGATTAGTTTTCCATACAATGTCTAATTTACCAATCACTGTTACACCTTTTATTACTCCAGCTTTCTCTGCAAATTCTTGCTTTGGTTTTAGACAGTATAAGTATTGACGTGTATCCATAGGTTGCAAGTAAGTCCTTGCACCAAATGTAGACTCACTGAAATGAAAAAAAATTAGGTCTTAATTTATACAGATAGTCTGAAGATTGAGAACCCAACTTTTTTCCCCAATCCCCCACAAGTTTTATTGTGTATGCATAATTTGATAATGGTAAAACACATAGACTATTTTTTGTTTGCACAACAGAAAAGATTTCTAGAAAATATGTAGCACCAAGGACCATGGAGAAATAAAATAACCTGTTCTTCTCAGCCAGAGAGAGGAATAGCATAGAACTTCTCTCTGCTACATTATAATTAATTATCTGCCATCTTAGCATTTAAACAAAAATGCTGGTCATTTTTCTTCTGCTATTTGTTTTCCCTCACAGTAAATCTCAATGTCATGAAACTAAGATTCCTGTTCAGGAGAAAAACCATTACAGTGGATGCAAACACTTGGTAAAACAAAGCTTCATTATGCTGCTGGTGAATCCTTCAACAGGCAAGGAGAAGACAGAATTTTCACTTCAGCCCCTACTGCTGAAGCACTGAACCATCACCTCCAAAAACCCAAGCAACTGCAAGGCACAAACAGCCAAAGTTAACTTCACAAGATCTTGTATCCAATGTAGTCAGTTATTATAAATATTATAAATATAAATTTATTTTATTCCAGCAGGAAAAATTTTTATACTCTATGACTACATGAGGGTGTATCACTGATCCACTCTGAGTGGTGTCTTGATTTTTCATGATTAGAACAACTGAAAACAATAAGCAGTTTACTGTTCAGGAGGCAAGGATTAGTCAGATGAGTCCTGTAAGGCTAAGCATGTACACAAACATCAGGTCAAAACTACATCTGAGTTAAATTTTACATAGGAGATACTGAAATAATAGTATATTTTCATGTTATGTCATCATTGTTACAATTTATTTGAGCATTAGGCTGGATACTTCTCTATTAAGTAGAATTATAGATTTTTAAGAATAGTTTCTATACAAAGAAAACAGTAACAAATTTTCCAGTTGAACACAGGATAGGATTTTGAACTTTTTATGCAAGCAAAGACATACAATCCTCCTATTATAGACAAATAACTATTACTTGTATCTCTTGAAGTATTAATATGAAGCATTTCAAAATTAAATTTCCTGAATGTAAGCATACCTTTCCCCTGCTGTGTTAACTGTGTTCAGTTCTGCAACATTGTACATCATAGATGGCTCTAAAGAAACCTTCTCCATAAACATTGGAGAGGTAGTGATATTCTGAATTTGAGCTTCCAGAAAAACATCATCTGTCTGAAAAAAATCAAAAGTTCGAGTTCATGAAAATATGATTAGTGTTACTAAAAAGAACAGGCAGTCCTATTGTTAAAAAAGTCACACATGTTTAGTTCATGCCTGCAAATCAAATCAATTAATGCAAGAAAAAACCTTAATCCCAGTAACAATAGGAGCAAAAGTGTTAGTCAACAGATATCTTGCCAAACAATGGATGTGGGATAATTTTGCTGTGTTCTAGCTATTGCTTATTTGTAATGCATTAAATCACCACTTCCCAAGACTTTCATCAACTTAATAGCAACTCAAGCTTTTATCCAAATTATTTAAAAAATGGAATAAATAGTAAGGAATTGCAGTGCACAAGAACATGCCAAGCCAGATCACTAGTGCATGAAGCTGTATAAAAAAATTAAAGTAAATGTGTGTGTTTTTCTTTAACTGAAGTGAAACAGTTCAGGTACATGCTCTGAGCTTTTATTATTAAATACCAGCATTCTAGCTAAAATGCAAAACCCAGCCCCTTCTCTCACTCAGCTGCATCATGCCAAAGGTTACCAATATAGTATGCATCCAACAATTTAACTGGTGCTCTACCTTCAGAACATCTGAAGCTAATGCCTCAAGGTGGTATTGAAGGACAAATTCTAGTACAAAAATGAAAGCTATAGACTGCTAAACTTCTGAAGATGAAGTTTAACAGTCTATAGCTGTTAAACTTCATCTTCAGAAGTTTAGAGAAGCTTTTGCCTCACTAGAGAAGCTTTTGCCTCACTTCTTTTGTGGAATTGCAGACCAGTGAAGTCACTTTCCATGTCTAAAAATCTCAGGATAGAATAACAATGGAAGACTCAGTCTATTAGAGATACAAGTCCCCAGAAAAGTGAAAACCATAATTAAAGAAGTGCCAGTTAAAAAAAGGGAGATACCAAATTTGCATTTACAACAGTCACTGATTCAGGCCATTGGATTAAGTGATTCTTCTAGGTCCCTTCACTAAATTAGGGACCTAGAAGAATAAACTAAATAAACTAAAGTAGTTCATTATTCAGATTGAAGCAGTTTGAGTATTTTGTTGTTAAATTTTAAGAAAGCATTTTGTGGGGAAGGTGGAACAAAACTTAAGAGTTTCTTTTTGATCAGAGTAAATAAATTATTCTTTATACAAATGGAGTCCTGCTTGTAAATTACAAAATAAAAATGTGACAAAATAGCCAAAATATGTTTAGTCTCAAAAAACTGTGTTAGAAGGAGAAATACAGAATGGTTGTGTAACTTTTTATATTGCCTTATAAACAAATTAAATACAAAGCAGCATCTATACAGTAATGAAAACTGTGCAACCTCAACAGGTTACAGAGACACTTCATGCTTGTAGGAACTGGAAATAACCCAAACTAAAACATGGCTCTCAGTAATCATTACTACTACTGCCTGACTGCCACTTGAATTGATACCATTTATATCCCATAAATCCATTGCTCAAAGTTTTTCGTTTACCCAAATTTAGTAGTTTTCAAAACAGCAACCATAGGCAGAAGTTTAAATGAGCTAATTTGAAAGGGAAAAGAAAAAACAAGCAGCATAATGAAAAAGCAAGTTAGTTTTGTGTTATTCCTAATTTGGTGTAGTATTACATTTTTAAAAAAAATAAAAAACAACTTGTCAAAATATGCAGTTTATTTTAGTACAAGGCACGCCTTGAAGTGAAATCATACTGCAGAAGTAACTAAGTAACTCAATCAACTGTTACATGCAGTTAAAATTGTGAAGTGCAGTTCCAACTAGCCAAAGGAAGGAAGAACATCCAACTGCTGCTCTCTCCTCAAACCCACTGTCTCCAACCAGATGTGAAAAGTCTTCTCACAGCTTACACAAGCAGTGCTGTAGTGAAACCTACATTTCCATGGGTCAAAACCAGAAACATTTTAGAAGGAAATAAATTCTTTTTCCAAATAATATATATATAATAAAATTTTCTTGAGGTATTTTATTGGAGGACCCCCACAAGAATCTGGAGGTATCAAGTTCTAGTTTCAACAATGGGTATTAAAGAAAGAGCTAACCATTTAAATTATTAGCTGCACATATAAAGACAAGAACACATCCCTTTATGACACGCAGAACAAACATTGCTTTTCCATTATGTTTGTAAAGTATGTCAATAGCGAGCACAGAGATAGTTAAGCAATTAAAAAAGCATACATATTTATAAAAAATAAATAAAAATTACCACAGAACTGAGGTCACTCTAATGGGAAAATAAAAAAAAGAACACATTAGAGAAATTAGGGTTAAATGTTAAAGAAAAAGGAGGCTAACTTCCAAACAAAATGCATTTCTGCATTTTTTTGCACCATTTAAACAAGATAGCATTAGTAAGACAGAAACAAATAAAAATGGATGCAAACAAAGATGACAACTACATTTCTAATAACTTATATGGTTACATGATTTACTAGGTTTGCTTCAGAACCAATCCAAAGTAGAGCTTAAGGCACACAAGTCACAGACAAGATATGGTAGAATAAACTGACTCAAAAAAAAAAAAAAGAGTTAGTTTTTTGAGTAAGTTTAAAGTTTGTCCTGAATTTTAATCCATGCAATGGATTGTACATGAAATGGAAAAACAGTCCTTGTCACGTTATAGACAATTTTAAGTATCCTCATATACAATGTCTCAAAAATAATGTGGTAATGTGTCTTACAAAAGCCACTATGTTGCAAGTTATAACAAAATTTGGCATAATATCAAGAAAAACTCTTTAGAATATTCATCAATCCAAAAACCCAACTTCAATTGCAAACTTTGTTGTCTACCTCCCTGTGCATGCCTGCAGGAACAGAACCTTTTATAGTGCCTTTTTTCAAGGCACATTAAAGTCAGTGAGACAGTAATTCAATCCTGGGATTGCAGCAGGTTAGGGCAACAGGGCATGTGTTCTGTGCATAAATTTCAGTGATCAACTTCATTTGGGTGCTATTGTAATATAAGCAATAAGCAAGAAGATTAAGGTTCAGCATCATTCCTTGTCTTAGAAGAAATTAAATTATGGATTATCATTAGTCTATTAATAGAAATAAATTTTAGTAAAAGACATTATGAATAGACAGCATCACAGCCGTAATCTTAATGATAAAATAAGTTTAACTGGTTAGTCAACCTTTAGAGATCTTTAGTTAACTAATAACTGACACGTACCATTTTTTTCTCCCCTGCTCTCAAGGACAATAGTCAGGATAAATTTCGTGGTGCTTTCACAGCAATGTAGCATCACACACAACAGCTAACCATACTTATTTCTAGGTATTTCGAAGTTAATTGAATTCCATGGTCACAAGACATAGCGACACTTTATATACTTTCAGAAATTAGACAGGAGTGCTACTATACCAGTTTGCTAGGCAAATGGAAATTGCTCATTTAATATCATCCAAATTAATTTTAAAATTTTTTTCAATAAATTGAATGGCTAAGATGGTAATGGGAGTTGCATAAATTCATAACCAAGAAGAACAAAAGGAATCAAGGAGCCTCTTAAAAATTCTATAGTGGTAAAGAAAAAGCACAAAAAAACCTCCAAAACCCAAACCCACATGTACCAGCTCAAAGAGCAAAGCTTCTCATAGATTTTTACCATGAAGAATTGGTAGCTAATTAAGAGTTAAATAAGACCCTTATTAAGACTGGTCAGTATAACTACTATGAAAACCATAAAAAAAAATTATCTATGTAAAAAGTTTGCCCAGAATTACCTTAGAGAGGTGCTTCATCACAAACTTTACACATGAAGTATAAAGAGACAGCACCATTTAAGATATCAGTCCCCCTTTTCCCTACCACATACTTTACAGCTGAAACAATAATATAATCCACACACTAAATAAGAGATATATTTTGCTCCCAGAGAAATTACTTCATTTCTTAGAATTGTTTTTCTTCTTAATTCACAGCAGAAGAAATTTCCAGACATTCTCACTTACAGATAATAGTGGTTCTATAAAGGGCTCAGCCAGTGCAATGTGTTTATGCTCCAATCCTGCTCAGGTACCTCACACCTGGTCAATGTATAGTTTGAAACCTGTGGCCTAAAGATATGTACCAAATTCTTCCCATAAAGAGACAAAGGCAGACATGTATGTATGTCCAAATAAATATGCAAGACATAGTTAAGGTCATTTAGTTTAAAAGCACTTTGTGTAACTGTCACAAGCCTAAAACTTAAATTACTGAACTGAAGGGTCATAGTTACATAGGGAAGATCTAAATTTAAGTAATTTAAATTTAAATTTTCCCCACTCTGATAAACTGTCATGTCCTTTATGAACAATTAATCTCTCTTACAGTAAGTACTCTATTGGCCTAAACATACAAGCAATAACTGAAAGTATTTGAGTACACGAGAAACTGGAATATATGCAAAATTGTTAGTCAATTACATTAAGATCCTGACATCTCTTTTGCCCTTCATCAAAAGCCTATCTATTTTTAAACTATGCAATATATATCTATGACTGTTTTTCCATTAGAACTGATCAATTTTCTCAGAAAGGTATACTTACAAAGCTCTTTGAATTTAATCTAAGTAACAAATCCAGCATGCTTAAACAAACCTGAATATACACAGTTCTCACCTCTGCGTTGTAGAATTTGGTTTTCACATCTAGTGGTTTAAGAACCTGAATGAAATGGAAAAAAAAGACAGATTGACAATTGGTTTTTTGGACATCGTTGGCACAGACTCTTTTGAAGTACCAGGTTCTCTTACTAAAAAATGTTATTTTTCTTTTTGATCTTACACATAGCAGGTGCATATATGACAGAATCACTCAAGAGTATATCCTAGCTTCTTCTTATTTATGCACACTTGACTGCTTTCCTACTAAGCAGTCTCCTCATACTGAAAACAAGTAATTCTCCACCCAAGCACTGACCTCTTGTAAAACTGCCCAAATCCAGTGCTCTAAGTAGACCTGTGTGTTTAAAATAACACTATTTCCATCATTGGTCCTGCATTTGCTTTCAGCTGTGAGCAAGAACTATTTAACAGTTATAAGTCTTTCAGAGTTTTGTAACAAAAGTTACTGAGGGCTTCTCTAAACATAAATGAAGCAGAGAACTATCCATTTGCTTAGCTTTCTTAGCCTTCACTTCCTCCTTGAAAATGGAATGGTTTCAAGAAATTAAAGAAAATAATAATATATAAATTAATAAATCATATTCATCTCATGAGATTCAATCAGTAAAAGATGAAAACTCAATGATATAAAATATGATTATAAAGTGTTGGTTCTTAATGCTTGAATTTTGTGCATAAAGCTACTGCAGTTCACACATTCAAATACAAAGCATATATAAAGTGATGTAACTGAAAGAAATAATCTTCTATCATACTTGCAAGAAACCAAATTTAAATTCTGTTTCTGGAGACACTTGTTTCCCATTACAAAGGGAAACTGTTTTTGTTTGCATATCACTGCATCCTGAGAGAACTCTACTGTTCCAAGCTGTCAACAAATTTTTTAGCACTGAAGAATTCAAGATCAAAAAGTTGTCTTCACAGATATTTCATCATTTTAAAATGCATAAAGTTCAAATCTTTCAAGTATTCATAATTATCTTTCTCTAGTCAAAAAAATGAATAAAAAATTTTAATTTAGGTCTTTGTTGAAAGATGATTTTTTCTGTCAAGTACATTTCTTCAGTGAGCTTATAAATTTCCCAACATGCTGAATTTTTTCTCTCTCTTCTGGTAAACAGTCTTTCCATTTATTGCAGTAAATTTCAATTGGCATTCCAGTAAAATACAAAAAATTATTGTGAAGTTCAAAACCACCCAATCCTAGAAGGAATCATTTCTTCTCCATGAAAACATAATCCTGTTAATTACTTAGAGAAAGCTTTGGAACAGAACGGCACTATCAATCAGTATAAAACTACATATATTGGTTTAAAAAAGAAGCCGATTCAAACCAAGTAACACCAGTTCAGCTTAAAAGATGCTGGAAAATGTAACTGAAAAATGTGAGAATCTGTAAAAGAGTATTTTTTTATTATAAAATAGCTACTGACATCTCAATCACTAGCAGCCATGAATTTCTGTTGTAAAGACACAGTTCAGTTTTCTGTAAAACTCCTTTTTGTTCATTCTCAGGTTTCCTACTGGTGTCTCTATGTCAAATTTAAAAACTAACAGCCAAAATTCTCAGTGCAATGCTTTTCTCATAATGGATTAGAGTATTTATAAGGAAGTGTATGTATACTTATGCTTCAATCTTTGAAAGGAGGGCTTCACATTTGAAAGCTAGCTACAAATGTTCTGACAATTCAGTTGCCTGTGCTGAGTTCAGCTGAAAACCATGGCAATTATACATGCATGCAGAACCCCCAAAAATCTGCACAAATAAGTTTGCATACAAAATCCAAAGGAAACAAATCTTGTATGAAGTTCTGACAAGAAGAACATTAGGGAACAGAGAAAAGATGAGATCTGAAGCTTGCACATGCATGTGTAGGCAATCATAGAAAGCCTAGCAGGGACAGAGAAACAGAACACTCAGCAAAGGAAAAGAATGGAGAAATGGAAAGGGAAGCAATGTTATATGGAAAGCATGACAAAGCACACAAAGATGAAAATTAACCTCAATAAAGATGAAGAAACTCTAGAGATGCTAGTTTCACAGAGAGGGCAACACAAAAATTTATATGGAACCTAGGATTGTCAGGATATACCTTTGATTAATCAATACCTGGCATTTCAAGGCCCATGACTACTAACAGCACTCAACTGTTCTTTCTAAAGCATGGCAATTTAACATTCTAAAGACTGAAATTATTTTTTTCTGAAATATCTAGATAAATACTAGAAAATAGTGAAATGCAATTACCCCATAGTGTCATAAAATATCCTGAGTCAGAAGATAACCACAAGGACATAAAGTCCAACCTCCAGGAATATGTGCCTGACAAAGCACTGTCACAGGCTTTGCACTGTGACCACTTCCCTAGGCAGACTGTTCTGGTGTCCAATAGCCCTCCGGGTGAAGAACCTTCTCCTAGTATCCAACCCAGACCTCCCCTGAAACAGATTTAGGATGAAACTATATGCTGCTCCTGCATTAGCAGATGCAGAGTATATAAAAATGTATTCAGTCAAGCATGTCATGTAATCCTCCATCCCATGAAGATTAGTCCACCAATATACAAGTCTCAATATATTTCTCTAAAAAATTAAAGTCTCTTTCTTGCTAGAACCAGCCCACAGATTAGTTTCTTCCTTTCCTCAGTCACTCTTACTGCAAGTCTTGATACTTGTCTGATGGAAGAACAGGTTTAAATTGTCGGTATTAGATATAACACAATAGACTTCTTTCCTTAAATTCCTCTAAAACCAAACTATTTAATTCCAGTTTACACACAAAAAGAAAACACAGAATTTTACAATACAAGCTCAATGATTGCATGTATCAAAGCCAGAATGACCAATACTTGTTCTGTTTAAAAATAGTCATGGAACTGTCTGCTATAAAAAGGGACTATTTAAGAGCACATCTTTTTCTCAATAAATTAGTAAAAATTATTAGATGCAATATTTATTAGTTCTGAGATGTTTAACTGTGTGGTAATTGGAAAACATCAGTTTGTGTGAAGTTTGAAGCAGTGGCTCTTAATGGTTCACTTTGAAAAGGGAACAGATTTTTAGTACATAAAAATGCTTATGAAGTATCAAATGTTTTAAAATGTGTTTTCTAGACACACACTTATTAAAAGCAGAGTAAAATACTTCACAAAATACCTGAAATTTGAAGAACTTTCTGAAGTACATCTTCTCTCCAGTCTGTGTAGTATAACTTACTGCACAAACTAAACTGAAAAAAACAAATTTAAAAAAAAGCTGTGTTACTTTAAATCTTGTGCTGTTTCAAAAGCAGAATAGCATGCATGCACTCTAGTTTCATTTAAGCTCATTTACTAATAGAAAAAGTTAAAATTTTACATGTGTGTTCCTATCTCCTTTACTTCATGATGGATCACATCATCAATGCAACAGTCAGGTTTAAGTTCTGCCACTGCAGCACTAGAAGCTGAAAGATTCAAACGCTGAGAACTTGTCTGAAGATCAGCCTGGGAACGGAAAAACAAAGCATCAGTTAGAACTATATCTGTTTAACTTGTGTTAAGGAAAAGTAACTTATGTTATCAAGTACTAGGTCTTACTGTGCATTGTGTACCCTACATGCTTTCACAGATATTGTAAGAGCTCAGCTGGTCAGAACAACACCAAGGCTGTGGGTTCGATGGGCTACTGTGCTGTACATCGAAGGTTGTGTGGGCTACTGACTTAAGAGTTGGACTTACTCATCCTTGTGGGTACCTTCCAACTCAGAATATTCTGTGATATTCTTGACTCAGACACCTTCTGGGACATATATTATGAAATACTTACAAAACTAAAGACAAGCTGTAAAAAAGCTATATATAAATAGTCCAGTCCTTTATCATACAGCTTAAAAAAAAATCGCTATTTCTACATTGAGCTACACGACTTCTGTAATTTTTATTCTGCTTTATTTTTCAGTAAACACAAAACCCCAACTCTCTAGAAAATAATTAATACAATATACAGATCAGTGTATGCTTCACAGGGAATTGAAGATCTCATTGAAAGTGAAGGCAAGTGAATGTAACTCCATTTTTTAGCTGTGGAAGTTTTGCTACACCAATTGTTCAGAAAAGTTTTAAATAGAAGGGTGTATGTCCAAAGAAGGTCAATGGAGGTGGGGGTGTTTAGTCAGGAGAGAAAGGCTCAGGAGAGGGACTTTACTACTCTCTGCAACTACATGAAAAAAGACTATAGCCAGCTGTAAGCTGATCTCTTCTCAGAAGTAACAAACAATTGGAGCAAGAGGAAATGGCCTCAAGTTGCACCAGGGGAGGTTTAGATTGGATAGCAGGAACAATTTCTTCACAAAAAGCGTTGTCAAGCATTGAACAGGCTGCCTAGGGAAGTGGCTGAGCCACCATCTCTGCAGGGGACTGTGCAGATGGGGAACTTAGGGACACAGTTTAGCAGTGGACTTGGCAATGCTGGGGTAGCACTTCCACTTGGTCACGTCAGAGGGTTTTTCCAACCTAAACACTATGATTCTGTAATAAATCCATTTTTTCACACAATCCTAGTTTTCCATTTTAATCTTTGAAGAATTCTATAATAATTGCTATTTTTATGCAATTATTAGAGAATTATAATTCTATTACAATAATTCTATTCTTACTCTTTCCAATTTCCAGGTATATTTTCTAGATTGGAAAAAGGGACATATATTTCCTCAAGTCTATGTATTAGCATTAAACATACAATATATTGTCAGAGAATATATTAATTGTGTTTTATTTTTTTATAAATATTTTATAAGTGGATTTTTCTTCACTTACCTTCACAAGTATGTCCTTGACAACTTGATTGCTGTCATTGTGCACACTAATGTAACTACTAAATGTCTCTCCCAGAAATATATTTCTGTATTTCAGGCAAAAAAAATTTTAAAAAAAGATAATTTTTTTAGTAACAGTTATTAAAAACCAGAACATTTCACTGAAACATTTTTAAGTTCACACACATACACATTTGCCAATCAAATTGCAGAAGACAACTGGCATTTGCATACCCATACTTCTGAAATCATCCTTCTAAGACAAACAGTTTTAAAAGGGAACAAATCAAAATTTTTTCTAGCTAAAAGCCCAGCAGGAATAAGAAGATAGATTTCAGTACCCACAAAAATCACAGTAGAAAACTCTGTTCGTATAACACATGATTTATAGTAGTGCATTATCTTAGAAATTCACACACAGTTGCAAATCTCTTTCAACTTTCAATGCATATAAGGCTCAGTCAGGCTACAGACAAGAAACATCAGGCAGCATATACATATATATTTATAAATCGAGCCACATATTATTTTTTAAATGACTGAACATCTTGTTGCAGAACAATGATACTCAAAGAGAAAGAGAAGTATGAATCCTAAACCAAATTAATCCTAAACCTTGCATATTACAGTTAGAATCATTTATTCTTACCCAAAATTTTGAGGCAAAGTCAGCATTTCTCCTAACATCAAAGTTTCAGCACCCTTTACAGTAGAAGGGTCATCTTTCATGAGCTGGTTAAATAGATTACCTGTAAAAATATCAAGTTCCTATTAATTAAATATTTGCTAAGTCCAAAGTTTTGTCTACATTTAAGTTAGGCACGTAATCACTTACTCAGATGTAGTTTATTTTAGATACATTTCTTTTACAATAAACTTGTTTAGAGATGAAATATATATCCATAAGCCTGTTGGTAAGTTATAACTTAACTTCAAGACACTTGTATATATAATCAGTGTGTAATAATATATAATAATAATAATATATAATATCAGTGTGTATATTATTTATATAATATTATATATTATCAATATATAATAATAATATATAATATCAGTGTGTATATACTCAGTATATACACACTGAAGTGCACAATCCATTGCTCAAATTAACACTGAATTTTGAGAGAAATTCCATCTAGACCACATAACAGAAATAATCAACCTCACTTACTTTCTTCCTCTGTCTGCTTTTTTATTTCTACACAACCCTCCTTCTTGAATCTTTCCTTTGACTCTCTTATACTTGACTTCAAGACTTCAACTATTTCTGGGAGATAACTCAGGGATTTCCAATTTATGACAGCACATCAAGCATAATGCACCTCAAAACCGGTGATTATTGCAAGATTGTTTTTCCACAGAACATTCATGTGTTGGTTCTAACCACCAGGGCCTTTTCGCCAAATTAAAAAAATATATATAGTAATGCCAAGCTTTCTCCACTTACACATTTCTCTCACAAAAATGCATTTCAGTTGTATATCAATTGCTCAGACTTTGAGGTCATGTGTTGGTTTGAGTATCATCACCAATCTTTCAGAGATACACGTCAAGAGCTATAGAGTGCACCTTGGTACTTTCCCTTAACTATTACCAAATCTTAAGTATATTGCTGTTTCAAGTAAGAGTCTATGGGAGGTCATGACTTCTCCAAGTGTTAGATGGTCACACTGCTTAAACTTGGTAAAACATACATAATAATCAGTCAGTAGAAAAGACTTACCTGGCAAATCTCTTTCTTCACAAGTCACTGGAATATTAGTGAACAAGGTAGGTTTGGTTAGCCTCATCACTGCAAGAATAAAAAAAAACCAAAAAGAAAAATTGGTCAATTAAACAACTACTTTTAATTTTGTTTTTCAGCTTCCACAAGAAAAACCAAAACCACCCAACAAATCACTACCACCAAATAAGTCCCAGACTCAAAAAGGATCACATGGCTTTTCGCAATACAAAAAAAACCTCCCTGCTATTCTAAGATCCAAGAATGTCATTGCCTCTTCTTGCTTTCTATCCTGGTGGACTAACCTACTCATCTACTGCTTTCAGTTTCATATACTAGAGGTCTTACACTTGCTACAGCATTAAGTGCTTTGTGGTCTTCAGAAGTGTGTCCGTTTCATTTGTTTGTAGACTTTTCCAGCTTAAGTGCCTATCCTGTGATCCTTGCTGCCCTAGAATGGGACATCATGACTCCTACGGACCCTTTCAGTCAAACACCAGTCTATTAGAAATTGCATTTACATCTCAATCTACAGCACTTTCACAAGGTAGAGTAACAATACTAAAACCCCTCATTATTTATACCACTGCTTTTTCTCTAAGTCACAAACTTTAACCTCAAACCAGTAAAACCAGCACAAAAACCTCATGAAAATATAACAAAGCTATTTTATTGATACTGACAAAATCAAAATCATTAATATTTTCCTATTAAAAACCTGCTACTTCCAGAAAGTGGTGTTTTAAAAGGCTATTTTAACTCACACTCAAAATTACATTATTTTCACTTAAATGACAGATTTAAGGTGCTACTACTTAAAAGAATTTCTCCCTCTTCAAATTTACCAAAGGCCCTAAATGTACATATAGCTTATCATGAAGGCATTCATATAAAACAAAATTGAACGTTTGTAATCTTGTGTTACTCTGAATATGTAAAAACCATTAGGGCTTTTTTCTTTGAAACTTAACAAACATAACACCAACTAAAACTAAAAATTAAACCAAAAGGATTTCTCTGATTGCAACAAGTTAATCAATACCTTTGCACTGACACAGTTATGGTGGGTTTATTTTTACAGTACTTTTGTACAGCTATTGTATCCAGACAGCATTCACTGTTCCCAGTGGCGGAAAGTATTCAATTACTTTGACAGACATTTGGGTTCAGTGGCTCGTATTGGTTCACAAGAACTTATGCTACCATACAGCAGACCTATGCAAATTAGCACTGACAAAAAGAATTCTCACTTTTCACATGAAAAAAGAGAGAATACATTCTCTTTGCTATGGTGACCTTTGAAGACTTAGAACCACGAGGTATATTAAACAAAACCCAAGATATATAAAATAGAGTAAATAGTGAACCACATTCAACATTGAAAATGACAAAGAAAAGATACTGAATTACACATGCTTATGAATTAAGCATTCCTCAAAGCGAACAAAATGAGAACCTGGATTTCGGCTTGTATCCTGGTGCTAACCAAGACTGCAGTAGTTCTGCAGAGCAATCAAACATGGTGTTCACTCTTACAAGACCTCAGTTACCAGCTGAGGTGCTCACAGGTAGCAGCGCATCTACCATTATTCACATACGAGCCAACCCAAAGCAGCACAAAGCTGGCACCTACAGTGACAACAATCTCTCCTGTTTAGTAAAATGTTTGTTTAGCACTTTCGTCGGTATATCAAATTAACCTAGTGAGACTGTATTACTGGCATTATCAAATTTTATTCAAATTCATACTATGCCTGTATAACTAGTATTTGCTGTTTCTAAAGGAAAAGTTAAGTCATGTTTCAGAAAATAAATATATCACAGAATGAAGTAAAAACAAACTATGATAGATATATTATCATATTTATTAGAAGTACTAAATTATTGTTAGAAAATGTATCATCTCTTCCAAGATCCTAGATACAAAATACATTAAATAGAACTCGGACCAGACTGCATTTTATTCCAACACTGCATTTTATTTCATTTTATCTTCAAAAATGCTGATGCACAAAGTTTAGTTACGATTAATGTTCAGCTCAGAAATATACTGTCAGCAAAAAAAATTGACTATATAGGCTTTAAAGCTCATAACAACCCTCAGCTATGCTGCAGTTAAAATGCAGTCTAGACAGCATTTTGCATCAGTTTTGCTAAGTAGTCATATTAAATGTCACAAACATCTCAAACATAAATATAAAGACATCTACAAATGTCTTAAAATTCAGTCAAAGTTTGAAAATACATGTCAGTGACTCAAATGGAGAAATTTTTATCTTAAAAATTGTAATGCCTACAATAAAATATAATTATCCAACACAAGGATGTTATAAGAATGTTAAGTCTGAGGGGGATTCACTTTTTTTTTACAGAGAGATCCCTGTTATGCTTATGCACACTTTGGTGTGAGCGGCAATAATGACAATCTCATAATCTACAAATGCTGTTTTCCCCCTTTTCCAGATGCTACAGACCTTGACCTCCAGCTACATCAAAACTATCTAGAATTAGTAGGAGTGCAAATGCATAACCTTGCAGTCATATTGATCCCAGTTTAACTTCTCTACTGACCCTGCAAAGTTTCAAATGAGCAGGGACGGCATGACCTTGGAATACTTCATTCTTTTAGAAGACAAAAAGTCATCCTGAACTCTGCTTTTTATGACCATAAAAGGCATTCAAATTCTCAAAGAAAAAGAGGTTTCAGATAGATGTCTCATTTCTTAATTTCCTCACTTTTACCTGGAAGCTAGTGTTTTCTTGTTCCCAAATATAATTAGAGACAAAAGAACAGAAACAACAGGAAAAGAAATTATCAAAGGCATAAAGCAGCAATTACTAAGTTGTTCGTTATTTTTCAGCCCACAGCTTCTACTGAAGCTATCACTAATACTTCTGTGAAAATATAGCAAACATTACTAAGACAGTACATATATCCCACATAAAGTAAATTTGTATTTCATGGGAGGGATATGCTATCATTAAAAAAACTCACAGACTACTTTCAGGAGATAATCAGATCTTGAAAATCTTAATGTCAGTTACAGCTATTACAGCAATTATTACAACACACTTAAAACCATCTTTCCTTCTCCTAATTCCAATGAAGCAGAGAGGACATACTTTGCTTAATTGAAAGCATTAATTTTATTATCTGATATAGCTTGCCACAATAGTCTGGAATTTTTACTTCAGACCACCAAGGTAGAGAAAAGCTATAAAACAAAGTACTAAGCCAAAGAGAAACTTACTAATCTTAACAGAATAAGTCTTGAGGCAAAACAAAGTTAAAGAAATACATCATTATAGTTAGAAAACCATAGCAAAGTAACATAAGTATTCTTACTGTTAATTTATCAGTTATTCTAATGTCTATACATTCTAAAGTGTTTAAAAACTTTATTATTTCTGATAGTAATGTTATTATTAAATTACATCTGAAGTTATAAACTAAATATAATTCCATATTTATGTACAAGTAAATTCATTTTATCTGTAAGGCTCAGCTTTTCCCTGAGAATATTTCTAACATATTCACAGTATAATATATCACAGAAAATCCATATCTGTCCCACAGATCTTTGGATAGTAGCATTGCAAGATGGCAATTCATTCTGTTTAATGAGTCTATTCAATTTTACCCATATGTCCTCCAAATTCTGGTTTTTACAAAGAGACTGTTCAATTGTCCACTTGGCTCTACAAAATGCATGCAGCTTTAGTCTTTCCAAATTATTCTGCAGTTCTTGAGATAAAGGATGAATCTTCTCTCTGAGTTTAGCTCTAGGGAGAGAGACACTCCAAGACCTTTTCAATTTCTGTTTTCCATTAGGTGGTGGCTCTCCTTGACAGTCCAAGTTAATTGCTCTGTGAACAGCCTGTGCTTGGATTAAAGTCGGACCATGTTTCATGCTAGAGTGAAACTCAAGGAGATTTTTTGTGCAGTCATAATCAGGAGATCCTGTAACATATTCTGAAGGTGTAGAAAGCTGTTTCAATTCTTCCACTTCCTCACAAGAAATAACAGGTGCCTGCTTTTTTGGTTTGAGGGGAAGTCTGTGTAAATCATTTGGAAACCAGGGTGCAAATCTTGGTAACTGGCGAATGGGAAACTCCTTCACTGCTGCTTCTGCAAATTTCTGCAGTTTTATTAGATCTCTCTGATGTGGTCGATAGTGCAAGACCACTTCCATGCTTGAACAGAAGGAATCCAGTGATTCTTAGGAAAACAGTCTCTTTGATTCTTGTATCTAGACTGAAACATCTTATTTACAAGAATTTCCTTGCCCCTTGATGCATAGATCAGTGGAAAACAGGACCTAAAGCAGAAGTATTATAAAACAATGAGATACTACCATATTAAGACAAACATTGCTAGGCTATTTTTCAAGAAATAGGTAGTAAAAATACATGAGATATATATCAGAACATTCTATTTTATCTCGGCTGAACATTACTGCCTGTATTCCATCATTACCAGTGTACCTTCAGTACAGTAAACATTATCCACATGCTCACTGCTTACTCAAAACAGTCCTTTCCCAAGAGAACTCTTTTACTGTCACCATCTCTCATACTTGCCACTCATCACTATTCTGGTCATATTGTTGTGATGCATGCTAGAAGACACACAATTACTTCTGCCTATTTTCTCAAATTTAGCAGACAATTTTTTAAAGTGTTTTACTCCTCTATATCAGCACTTTTAGCAGAGGCACATAAAGTAACAAGAAAACACATATGTTACAGAAAGCCTTCCCAAAATAGTGCCAACTGATACAGTAATTTTTAAAGTGAAAAGTTAAAAGGGAAGTGTTCTAGGCAAATTAAAGGTGCCTGCTTTCATTTTGTACCAGAACTACCCATTTTTAGCCTCAAAGCTCCCAAGCCTCACACGCAACTATGCTTTAATTCTTAAGGAACTGATAATTTCTTAATTTATTAGACTTTTGCTTAATAAGCACCTTATTGAGTTGTCAAAGGCTTTATATTTCCATACAAAGATGATATTAAATTCAGAAGCATGGTGAAGGGAGAACTACACTATTATGAAACACAAGTAAAACATCCACAGTGTTGCTCTCCTATTTCCTATCCTTCTCCCCCTTTCCCCATGCACCCACAAAAATTTTGCAATCATTTCACAATCCCGAATGGAGAGCAGTAACACAGATGACATTAAAGTAACAAAATCTAGGATTGCCACTGTCAAGATTTTGTTTAATACAGTCACAATGCAAATAAATCCTCATATCTTCCCCACTTCTACAAAAACTACAACCTGGATTAAATTCAATACAAAACTAAGGATGGCACTGGTTTCTTATAAAAGCAAAATGATCCACCATAAAGCTTTTTACTTTGAATTAATTACTACCATAACACATTTGAGAGCTGCTGATCTTTCACGTTCTCATGTCTTTTGCCCTTATTGCATGTGTGTATATGTACATGAAAAGAGCTTGTTGGGCTTTGATTTACGGTTAACAGATTTTACCAGCACATGGAGACATCATTAAAAACTTTGTCCAGGAGAGTTTTAAAATGAGAAAATGGTCTCTGAAATCACTGATACCTGCACTACTTTACCCACCTGGGCAGTCTCACTGATCTAGAATGCTTGCAGAGGCAAGATTCTAACAGCTCTCCATTACATCTACATAACTAGCAGCATTTATGATTCAGAAATGATCAAATTCTTCACAGGGCTCTCTTGATATCTACATTAATTTTGGAGGCATGCAAGTGACCTACACAATTGTATTTTCACTCTGTGATCCCTGAATCAAGGAGGTAAGCCTCGTAATTGCACATTAAGCATGAAGTGAAAAGGGTAAAAGCCATCCTAAGAGAACCAACTGTGCTGGAAAAGACGTCTGAGATCATAGAATCAGCGTAAAACCGAACACCACCTTGTCAAATAGACCATGGCATCAAGTGCCACGTCCACGTTCCTTAAATACTTTCCAGGACGGTGACTCCACTACGTCCCTGGGCAGCCCATGCCAGTGTCTGATCACCCTTCCTGCAAAGGAATCCCTCCTAACGCACAACCTAAACCTCCCCTGACCCGGTTTAACACTGTGTCCTCTCGTCCTGAAAAACAAACAAACAAGAGGCAGCAGGAGAACTGGAAAGGAAATTATAGCTGAACATTTTCTTTGAAGCCTTATGCAAAGCACTGACACAGCCGGGCAGCCGCGTTGAGCCCCTCACGCCAGGTGCACACCCTGCCGTGAGCGCAGCACGGTAGAGAGCTACCCTCTGCCCTAGGGCACGGCAGAGCACCCCTCAGCGCTCCTTTATGCTTTCGGGCATGGCAGAGCAGCCCTCAGCGCTAGCTTGTGCCCTCGGGCACGGCAGAGCAGCCCTCAGCGCTGCCTTGTACCCTCGGGCATCGAGCGCCGCGGCCCCTGAGCGCCGGGCCGCTCCCCGCTCCACCTCCTTCTAAACCGCGGGGAGAACCACCCTCGGCTGCGGATAAGACACGCAGTTTCACCACTGAATCGGGGCCGGGAGGGCGGCACCGGTGGGGCCGCGCTGTTGGTACCTTTCAGAGCCAGCAAATGCTCCTGCTTGGGCTGGTTGACGTCCATGGCCTTCACCCCGCAGGATGGCCGGCGGAGCGGAAGGCGCCACGCACACTGCGGCGGTGGCAAGCACGGCCGTCCCAGGCTGCAGCGCGGCGGAAGAAACTACAGCCCCCAGGGTTCCCTGGGCGGTCCGGGTGCAGCACGGCTGCCTCCTCCGCCTGCCGGTGCTCCTGTGGGGCACGCTGGGAGTCGTAGTTTTTACATCTCACTAGTTTTGCAGTTCTGCAGGGCGGCGCCTGCGCCCGCCGGGGTGGTGCCTGAGGTGTCGGCAGCTCCCCGCTCCTTCCTGCGGGGCCGCTCCGCTCCGCCCCGCCCTCCCCGAGATGGCGGCCCTGGCTGTAAACAAGGCCGGGGCGGAGGGTGGCCGCGGGCCTGGCGGTGGCGGTCGCGGCCCGGCGGGCGCCGCAGTGAAGGTGAGGCGGCGGCTCGGCCCAGCTCCTGTGGCGGTGCGGACTGTGCCCGCCCAGGACACGAGGCGGGAGGCCTGTGGTACCTGGGGTGCCGGGCTTATGGACTAGTTTTGGTGGTTTTTTTTCTTTCTTTATGGTCATCAGTTGTGCTTTTTGTTATAGCTTGAGATGTTCCGGCCCGTAACTGTTTTCTCGCACTAGCTCAGTGCTGCGTTTATAGCTTGCAAGTTGGCTTACTTGGTGTGACTGACCTCTTTATGAGCATTAGCAGCCAGGGAAAACTCCACCGGCCAACACTCTGCTCTGGCAGGGTCTTGCTGGCTGTTTCCTTTTCCTGCGAAGATGTTTCTTCTGGTTGTGCCTCTTGACCAGTAGGCTTGTCTTGTGGCAGTGTATTAAATGAAGCTGGTAGGAACTAGTGGTGGTCAGGCAGGATGCTGACGAGTTACAATGTTCTGTTTGTGTCTAATTATTTATTTACTTTTTAAAGGTCGGTAGTATGATCGTTATATGTGTGCATAGAAAGCAAAATTACTGACTCAGCTTATCTACTGTGATTGCATGAACATCTGTAACATAAATTGTTGTATAGCTTTCTGTGTGAAGTTCTGCATTTTAATTAGCTTAAAACCAAAAATGGTCTTTTTTAACTTACAGGTTCTTGAGTGTGGGGTCTGTGAAGATGTATTTTCTCTGCAAGGGGACAAAGTTCCCCGGCTGCTTTTGTGTGGCCATACTGTCTGCCATGACTGTCTTACCCGGCTTCCCCTTCATGGCAGAGCAGTTCGTTGTCCTTTTGATCGACAAGTTACTGAACTAGGTAAGAAAATAGAAGTTTGACATTGTTGAAACTTGCAGTCATGGATATCTAGAAGATAGTGCTTGTCATAGATTCTTAGTGCTCCACTTAGTGATGGTATTTCCAAGTAATGAATGTGTAGTAAGGAAAAGAAAGAAAAGATGTTGCCTTTATGTTCTTGAACCTGGGCTTGCATGCTTCATACCTGGGCATCTTCTTGTACACCTATATTTACAAAGGGACTACTCTGTTTAATGGTTCTGTGTAAGGGTTCCTTAAGTATGAGTATTAGTTTCCTATTGTCCTAAACACTAAACTCATGTAATTGAATAGGTAAATTTTTGTCTAACATTTCCCTGAATTCATGATGAAGTGATCTAGAGGGAAGGATCAGTGATAACACACCTGGTTTTTACAATGTTAATGGCTTCTATACGTGCATTATTGGTAGTGGCAGGCTATCAACTGGAATTCCCCTACTCTAACAATGTCTGCACATGGTATTTGAAAGGATAAGATAAAGATTTTTTTTCTTAGAGTGAAAGTTTATTTTAGGCAAAAGATGACACGTGCATATAATTTCTTCAGAATAATAATTACCTAGTCCATAGGGGGTTATAGAGAAGACAAGTTATCAGAGGAAGCTGTAACAAAAAGAACTTGTTAATAGAACTGGCTCCGGCAGTTTTGAATAACACTGGAGGAAAAAGGAGCCTATTGAAAGGAGAATCTTTAGGAAAGGATATCTCTGATCACTTAAACCATGAAAGAATTGTTTAAGTATCAAATTCACTTGACTGTGAAGTACAAGAATCTGATAGGAATATTAAGGCACTCTGCAGGATGTTTTTGTGAAGGTAGAAATCAGGAAAAGAAATAATCAGTCTTGTATGAAGGAGGGGGCTTTTTTTTGGGTGAGGGAAATGGTAGTGTGAGAATCATGAATGATTGCCATGAGTTTTTTATGAAATGCTGTGTTATTAAATCTCCAAGCATGTCTGCATTGCAGAATAGATAAAACATTGATTTTTGTTGGGTTTTTAAAGAATTCTTTAATGAAGTTCCCTGTGATTTAATCTTCTAATGGAAAATTTTGAATGAGTATGTACATGCTGAAGGTATGTGAACTGTTGTCTTCAAGTGGATTAACATTTTTCTCAACCAAAAAGGTGCAGTGGAATAGTTTTCAAACTTTTGAAATCGTACATGCTGGAGAGTGTTGATTCAGATAGTTTATATGAGGGAAAATCCAGTAAATAGTGTCTGTAGAAAAAGAGGCTCCTCTCAAAGATTTTCCTTAAAGTATGTTGATCTGGGAGAAAAGGCAAATAATTTCTTGCAAATTGTTTTCTCGCGTCGTGTCTTTCACTGGTTATTTTTGGCTGGTGGGTTTTTTTGTTTGTTGGGGTTTTTTGTTTGTTTGTTTGTTTCTGTTGGGTTCTGGGTTTTTTAAAATTAATATACAGACTAGAATATTTTTAGGAAAAATGCACTTTGGAGATTCTCTCTATCTACCATTACTGCAGAGCTGAAATTATTTTCTATCATTAAAACTTGTTCACAGAGATATGCAGGTGATGGCATCCTTCATGTAATCCATCTGATTGGTCTTGCTTAGATTTACACATGCCTTTGCTAGCGTTTGAGTGCCAAGCTGAAGCTTAAAAATGCTGTGCAAGAAAATACATTTAAACATTTAGACAAAAGTTGTTCCTTTATCCCTTTCATTATTTATAATACTTTTGCAGTCAAGCTTCATGCTTCTGAAATTGACGTTTGTATTGTTAGCTGGAGTCAGTCTTAATGTCTTTGGTCTGTCACTTTCTCATTCCTGGCTGACACATTTCCTGCTATTCATGTTTTCTTCTTCTTTTGAGATGACAGAATGTGTAATAATTTTTCTAATGGACACAAACATTCTTTGTAGGCACAAGGATGAGATCACTAGACTCTCACATTTGTGATCAAAGCACAATTTGAGGTGAAGTCCAAGAGAGTAAATAGATGTATATACAGAACTCATTGTTTAATGATTTCAAATATGAAATAAACACTTGGTCAATTGTGTTGAGAATGTGTAGGTCAGGTACCTAAAAATTTTATAGGTAGATTTAAAGCAAAAAGGAGGAAAGTCCCATTTGTGCAAATATATAAACTTCATGATAGATAACAGCAAAATGAGACATGACTTTTTTATGAGAAGGCATGCTTGTGACAAGGTAATCCACCTAGTAGACCAGGGGAAGCCAGTTGTGGTCTTTTTGTATTTCAGTGAAGTTTTGGTACTGTCTCTCCCAGTGTCCTGCTGGACAAGGTGTCCAGCACACAGCTGGATAAGCAAGCACATCGTGTGATGGGAGAGTAGCTGGTTCATGGGTCAGGTACAAGGGGTTGCAGTGAATGGGGTGACATCAGAGTGGTGACCTGTCACTAGATGGGTTCCACGGGACTCCACCTTAGGCTCTGTGCTCTTCAGCATCTTCTGAAATGATTGGGGGCAGGGCTGGGAGGGATACGAAGCCAGTTTGCAGATGACAAAAGACTTGAGAGGAGCTGTTGACTCTCTCAAGGGCAGGGAGGCCCTGCAGAGAGACCTTGAAAATTAGAGGGCTGGGCAATCATCAACCATAGCAAATTCAACAAGAGAAAGTGTCAGATTCTTCACCTGGGATGGAGCAACCCTGGATGTAC